TACACAGAATGGAAGAACTGTTCAAATGTAGTTACAAATTTCAATTATTGTCCCAAGTGGGAGAACTTGCTCTTCAGAGCCTTTCAATGCAGGGAGAATTATGCTCTGATATACCCTGAAATTCATTAATAATTCCAAGTGTAAGAAACACATTCTTTAGAACAGAACATGAAGATTTAAAGACTGCTTTGCTAAACATTTTTATTAACATTAAAAAAAAAAAACCTTCAATCCTGTTTTCTGCTATAAATAATAGTCAATTATAGGGGTGCCAGCCAGAGAAGCTGATTTGTAGCTCAGAGCAAAGGACAAACTATTAGAGATAAAAGGCACTTCTTTCCCAACAAACACCATTAAGGCTCATTACTTCAGTCATCACAGATAACAATTAATTGTCACTGAGAGCTGTAAAAAACATAAATGAAGGCATACAGAATTTTCAAATCATACTTTCAACTAATAAGTTATATGATCTGATTTATTACTAGGTTTTTATATTATCAAGGTTAGCAGCATTAATGCTTTCTGCAATCTATTTCATAGATTTCACGTGAACCTCGTCCTGCAAGTGTGTAACACCTGCATCTATGTTTGCACTTATTCACTGGCTGGAGTCTAAGTGGCACTGGAATTAAACTGAATAATTTACTGAAAAAATAAAAGTGTTGTTTGCAAGCTATCTGCTGGGGGCACCAGATTATAGCTTTGCAAGAGAACGATACGTTGCTTTAAAAAAGGCTAATATTATCCTAGGCTAATATAATTAAAAAAGGCTAATATCCAGTTAAGGTTTGCATCAACAAATAAGATAATCTCTGGCCTTTACTCAAGGAAATGACCTGCACTGGGTTCTGAGCCTGGGAGGACATTTGCTTTGTTTACTTGTTTGACATCAAGCCCTATATCCTCATAAAGTATGTGGACACTGGTAATACCAGACTTGCCTAAAAGTTAAGGAAAAATATGTAATTTGAATATATGAAATAAGAAATAAGAATGCTATTCCGAGCATTCAAATAATTTGCATTTACGAATCATGACCACTTCATGTCAGTTCTTTCAGAAAGACTTTTTTTTTTTGCTACCCTGTCTACTTACTGCTATTGCTATACCGTCAGATTGTCAGTTACACTGTCAAATTTGAGAAGATTCAGGGGTTTAGAGACTGAAAAAAGAGGTGCTTTTTTCCCTTCTGCTCCATGTTTAACACAGTCTTTTCTACCCTCTTGCTGAATACAAACCTCTTCCTAAAGTCCAAACAAAATCCACAATAAATTCCGATGGCATAAGGACATCACTGTTTATATGATTATATCATATTCTTTCTCTTTTCTTCTTCAGAAGACTCATGGTTATCTCTTGAAATCACACTGTGTTTATCTAGTGTAAGGCAAAAAACTAGGAAGCCTTGGATCTTGGTTCAAAACCCTAAATCATAGCACCCTTATGTGTCAGGAAGTAAAAGAAAGGATTAATCTGGACTCTTTTCTTCATGGCTTTTTAGAAGCCATCATAATTCCTTACCAGCAGATGTCTCAAAATGCCCAACACAATCAGCAGTAAAATGCTACAGGACTTCAGAGCTTTAGATCAGGGCATAGTAACTAGTTCTCTTAGGCTGCCAATATGATCCCTTCTAGTTATCCAACTAGGTTGGACTGTACAATAATTCAGAAAACTGTTCATCTACACCATGATCAGTTTAGGCTTTTAAAGCCTCACAAAGAGCATGGCATATACTACTCACAGAAGGACTACTTCTTTAAAAATTATTTATTGATCCACATTTGTTTTTCAATCAATCTTTTACATTGTCCTTTGGGGACAACATCTGTCTTACCTGGTGTGTTTGACCTTGTTTGAATAATTTCGGTTGGAGCGACAGTTAGCAGTTCTGGCCTGTAATGAGAAAGCACATAATTTATCCACTCTTAACAGAAATTAAATAATTCTTTTCATGTTAGTAATCGAAAAGTATGATTTTTTTCTATTATGTATTTCGCCCTCTTGTAAAAATGTTATAAGGATAATTTGGGAGATTCTTGTCTGAATTGCAAATATCCATTTTCTTTATAAGACAGCATATTTCATTTTCCTGTCTGAATGCTTTATGACTTAAAGAAAGCAAGTGTACCATTAAATAAATAGCAGTCTTCTCCACTTTTTTAAGGTACTAAACTGAGCTCTTACCTTTTGATTACAAATTTGATTCTGTTGCCCACTTGAATTATTTTTTCAAGGTGAGGAATCCCAAACCAGGCCGGGCTCCTGAATGGAATGTTCTCCGGCAGACCTTCGACGTAGAGCTCGGTAGGATGGGCCTCAAATTTCTGGTACGGGACTGCTTTAGGCTCAGTGCTCCCCAAGGCCTCGGCTGTTGGAACAAAATAAATCCAGTAACTGACAGTTTGGCCATCTTTACTAAAAACCAGCTAAACTACATAACCTCCAGACTATTACAATCCTTAGAACAATATGGAACATCAAAATCCATCAGACTCCAAGCTTCAGCACATCAAAAACAGATTTATCACATTGTATTATGGTATCTTGGAAAGCCACAATGCCAGGAAGAAGATTAACAGGTTCTTCATGGAGGCATAAGGAAGTGGTTTCATCCAGAGTTTTAAATCTTTATACAGCATAATGAAACAACATTTTATTCAAGCTCTTATGAAGCTGACCATTTTTTATACTGGGGAAAGCATAAAAATTCAACAAATGCAGAAATGTCCAGATTCAAATTTTAAAGCTATTGCAGTGGATACAGATAAGTAAAAGATCCTTTTTTTCTTCAAAGAAAAAAAATCTGAAGAGGAAGAAATTAAAAGCAATTTTTTTTACTATGAATTTAGCTTGTTGTATAAACAGCACACTAATACTCTTTCTCCTCCCACAAAAAAACCCTTTTTTTTTGGCCAGGATTTTTAATATTTGGAAATCATTGGATCAAAGAAACACAAAGCCAGGAAAGAAAATAATAGCATTGTGCTCACCAAACTTCTTACAGAAGAGCTGATCGACTGCCTCGTACAGTTTGGTGATTCTGGTGTAACACTCCTCCTCCACTATGTTCGAGAGACACAGAACAAAGTCAACATTCCCTCCTTATTCTAGTCACCATTTTCAGTCCTACAGTTTATACCAGACCCATCCAAATTCCTTTAAATGACTGCTTTTTAAACACACATACTCTCAAGAGATTACACTTTCAGCTAACCTATATAATACTATGCTAAAGTACAGATTTAACTAGGAACCAGAAAAAAATTATCATAATTCTGTCAAAGATGACTGAATTTTAAACCTAGAAAATTTCCACTAAATCCACCAAACTCGAGATATCCCTCCAGTTGCAAAGCACAGCCTGCATGTTGGCATCTGGAACTGCACTGCTGTCACTATTGGCTCCAATCTGTGGGCCTGAAATTGTTTTTTTGCCAGTTTCATTTTCTAAAAATTTATCTTGGTATTTGATGCATAGCTTGGTATGCATAGGTGACAGAAGCTTGCTTTCATGCAATTTTCACAACCCAAAGGCAAGTTTTTATGATAGGGGCACATTTCACCTTGATTCTTGTATAGTCACATCTAACTTCCTGCATTAACTTCCCTCTCTTTTTTTTTTGTGGATATTATTTTTAAAACAGCAACTAATGGCTGTACCAAATGACTGCCATAATTTTGTCATTCTTCTTCAGATGCCAAAAAAAAACGTGTTCCAACTCTCTGAAATGTTTCCTTAGCACTATTTAAGACATGAGTTAAGACATAAATGTGACAGCTTTCTAGATTAGCATATCTTCAGTGAATAAAACAAGTTTAAATCCAGTGTGTCATCATTTAATCCCTTGACCATTTCTGCTCATTGGCTCATACATCTGAGTTCCTGAGACACGACTTTGCATCTGACCATAGTTGTGGCTTTGAGTCTTTGTAAAGGCAGGCAACAAAGTCACTGCTCATGACAGTGCAATCAAAATGGGTTATCACCCGTCTTGGCTGCAGGGGTTTTACACAATATATCTGTTTTGTCTTCATAATCAGTACAGCCATATTAAATATGGCACAAACAACAC